GGGTTTTTTAAAAGCAGGTTTTCCAACTGCACAAATGTCAGGTCAAACTTCTCCCCCAAAAAAGCGAAACACAGATCTTTAGGATGAGGAATTACTGGAGCAACTCTGACAGTACCCAGGGGTTCCAAACTTCAAGTACAGATTAACATAAAGACAAGGATCTGGCCTAAACGAAGAGGTGGCTTTAGTATGATTTTGCCAGTTTGATTTAACTATGGAAACTAAACCCTTCCTTACTCACATAGCTTGTGTGACACGACACTGCCTGTAGTTTAAGCTTTTACCTAACAGATAAGCATAACCTATTTTCTTTTTCCTCTACAGTGGTGCCTCGCTTAGAGATCGCTCCGTTTAACGACGAAATTGCTTAGCGACACATTTTTTGCTATCGCAAAAGTGATCGCTTAGCGATGTTTCCTATGGGGAAAATTCGCTTTGATCTTCCGGCATCTTCAGAGGACCAGAGCACAGAGTGGTGTCCTCTGAAGATGCCGGCCACAGAGACTGGTGAAATGTTAGGAAGAACAACCTTCAGAACACGGCCAAAGAGCCCGAAAAACCCACAACAACCATTTACATCTTCTTGATAATGCAAGCGAATTCAGTCGCCTGGAGAATGTTGAGTAGGAATCCAGTGTCTGCAGAACTCACACAGTAGAGGTATGCAACTAAGACTAGTACTATCATTAAAGTGAAGAAACTCCTTTAGACAGCAGCTTTTGGATAATATGAAGAGGCAACCAATAGTTACATATGTCAGTGCTTCCCAACCTTGGGTAACCCAGGTGTTCTTGGACTGCAACTCCCAGAAACTCTGGCCAGCACAGCTGATGGTGAAGGCTTCTGGGAATTGCAGTCCAAGAACACCTGAGTTACCCAAGGTTGGGAACCACTGACTTATGTGATTGAGGGGTACCACAATTTTAATTACTAGGGGATGGATAGAAACAGGTCTCGGAGGGATTTCTGCTTCATGGATCAAAATAACTGACTTGGTTTACACACAAAGCACCTTTATTTTCATGGAAAGAAGGCCTCAAGCAGAGCACAGAGGTTAAGTGAGGTTAAGAAATCAGCTGCTTAATCTAGAATGCAACGCTTTGTTTGGCAAGGAACCAACTTTGAATTTGCTCCAAAACAGAGATTTCTGTTGAATACACAAACCAATGGGAGCTCGCAGACCTACCATATACAAACATACGTCTGGGTAGCCCATACTTTCACATCAGAAATATGACAATAGCTCAGTGGTTTAGGTCAGTGGTCCCCAACCTTGGGCCTCCAGATGTTCTTGGACTACAACTCTCAGAAGCCTTCACCACCACCTCTGCTGGCCAGGATTTCTGGGAGTTGCCGTCCAAGAACATCTGGAGGCCCAAAGTTGGGGACCACTGGTTTAGGTAATCTGGCTGCGGAGCCAGAGGTTGGGAGGCTGGGAGTTTGATTCCCCACTGGGTCTCCACAAGAGGGGCTGGACTTGATGATAGCATCCCTTTCAGCTCCGCAGTTCTAAGATGATGATAACTGGGAATAGGGAATTATGTTTTCACTGTTATTGTTAAGTAACTGGGAGTCAGACGTTTTGAAGATTTACAAAAGACTACCTAGAGTTCCAGAAAAACATCTACTTCTACCACACTGACTACGCAAAAGCCTTTGACTGTGTGGACCACAGCAAACTATGGCAAGTCCTTAAAGAAATGGGAGTGCCTGACCACCTTATCCATCTCCTGAGAAATCTATACGTGGGGCAGGATGCAACAGTTAGAACTGGATATGGAACAACTGATTGGTTCAAAATTGGAAAAGGAATACGACAAGGCAAATAGAAGGGGAAGATATGGAGGCAGTGACAGAGTTTACTTTCATGAGCTCCATGATCACTGCAGATGGGGACAGCAGCCACAAAATTAAAAGACACCTGCTTCTTGGGAGGAAAGCGATGACAAACCTAGACAGCATCTTAAAAAGCAGAGACATCACCTTGCTGGCAAAGGTAAAAGCTATGGTTTTTCCAGTAGCAATGTATAGCTGGACCATAAAGAAGGCTGGCCGCCGAAGAATGGATGCTTTTGAATTGTGGTGCTGGAGGTGACTCTTGAGAGTTCCCTGGACTGCAAGGAGATCAAACCTATCCATTCTGAAGGAAATCAACCCTGAGTGCTCACTGGAAAGACAGATACTGACACTGAGGCTCCAGTTCTTTGGCCATCTCATGAGAAGAGAAGACTCCCTAGAAAAGACCCTGATGTTGGGAAAGTGTGAAGGCAAGAGGAGAGGGGAGATGACAGAGGATGAGATGGTTGGACAGTGTCATCGAAGTTACTAATATGAATTTGACCCGGGAGGCAGACAGGAGGACCTGGTGTGCTCTGGTCTGTGGGGTCACCAAGAATTGGACATGACTTAACGACTAAACAACAACCACCTAGAGAACTACGAGTTCTGAAATCTTTTATCTACTTCTATTATATAGCAGTAAGGCCCCCCTCCCCGGTCAACAAACACAGACTTGCATTGCAATACAAAGGGTGCCAATGTGGTGCAGAAAGTAGAGCAGAATGGGGACTTTTTGGACATACAAGCTCAGATTCCTAGTAAGCCCCCATTGAAGAAAGCCACCACTTTAGTTAAAGACAGCATGGTTTCAAAGTCAGGCATTCAACTCCCGGAGGGAGGAAGATGTCACAGAGATGGGAGAGATGTCACAAGTGACAGCCAGAGAAAACAAGCCAGCCAGCCAGCCAGCCTGGATGGATGAGTGAATGAATCAATGATTGATTGATGCAGCTCTTAAAATTATTAGCCGCCTAGAGTGGTCCTATAGACCAGATGGGCGGGATACAAATCAAATCAAATCAAATCAAATCAAATCAAATCAAATCAAATAAATAAATAAATAAATAAATAAATAAATTAGATAAAATATTAACCTTCCATAAGTAGCAAAAACAATACATGACAGAAAAGGAGTTAGAATTCAAAATGTAACTTTTCAGGTACAGTCACGTAGTGACAAAAAGAACTAATATAAAAGCAATGCAAAGAAACAGTGAGGAAAAACAAGGTTTCTCTGCCATAAGATCCAAGAAATTAAAAGGAAATTTAAATCTAGATTAGGAATGCTGAAAAATCAACAGGGGAGCATATCACCTGATCAGGATCAAACCAAAGAAAGAAAGTAAACAATATACAGAATAACAATACAGAACAGACACAAGTGTGGTAGATTCCTTTGGAGAAGAAATCTGTGATAAACTGGCTTTCCAAAATTGCAAAGTGAAAGCAGGTCTTAAAGAATCAGAAGAAACAGATTACCAGGAATAAGTGGGATACCAATCAAGCTATTTCAGGCCACAGAGACTTGTGTCTTGAGAAGAATATGCTAACCAATATGGAAAATAAAACAGCCCACATACTGAAAATATTCAATACACATTTTAAACACCAAGAAAAGAGACACCAAGGAGTGCAGGAAACTACAGGGCTGTTGCTCCATAAGATGCCCTTTTGGATTTCGACACTTTTAAACAGACAACTGAAAACGTTTGTGTAGCCCCTGTTAGCACACAGGTACATGATCTGAGAACCTCGGTAGAGGGGAACTCTCCTTGAAGCGCACACCTAGTGGGCTTTTTTGCCGTGTAGGCGTATGGAGTGATTTTTGTTGTTAGTCGTTTAGTCGTGTCCAACTCTTCAAGAACCTCGGTAGAGGGAACTCTCCTTGAAGTGCACACCTAGTAGGCTTTTTTGCCGTGTAGGCGTATGGAGCAATTTTTGTTGTTGTTTAGTCGTTTAGTCGTGTCCGACTCTTTGTGACCTCATGGACCAGAGCACGCCAGGCCCTCCGGTCTTCCACTGCCTCCCAGAGTTTGATGAAATTCATGCTGGTAGCTTCGGTGCCCCTGTCCAGCCATCTCGTCCTCTGTCGTCTCCTTCTCCTCTTGCCGTCACACTTTCCTAACATCAGGGTCTTTTCCAGGGAGTCTTCTCTTCTCCTGAGATGGCCAAAGGATTGGAGCCTCAGCTTCAGGATCTGTCCTTCCAGTGAGCACTCAGGGTTGATTTCCTTCAAAATGGATAGGCTTGTTCTCTCTGCAGTCCAGGGGACTCTCAAGAGCCTCCTCCAGCACCACAATTCAAAAGCATCAATTCTTCCGCGGTCAGCCTTCTTTATGGTCCAGCTCTCAATTCTGTACATCACTACCGGAAAACAACATAGCTTTGACTATGCGGACCTTTATCAGCAAGGTGGAGGTCTCTGCTTTTTAAGATGCTGTCGAGGTTTGTCATTGCTTTTCTCCCAAGAAGCAGCCGTCTTTTAATTTCGTGGCTGCTGTCACCATCGTATGGAGCGACAGTATTGGCTAAAAACTTAATCTCATACTCCGGCCTCATTCCCTACCTCTGTTCCTCCCGCAACTCCTGAAAGAGGCAGCAGAAGACGCCAAAGAAAGACGAAGCCCCCGTTAAAAGACGCAGAGACGGAGAACGCTCCCCGTGCTCTCCATCCCCCTTGGGTGCGCCCGAGGTTGGTTCCTGGCTAGAGCCGGACGAGGCTGAAGTCATGGCCCTGCTCTACACGAAACTCGCACAGAACAGGAACCGGGAGCTCCGAGTTCGATTCCAAGCCCTATCCATGGAGGGCGGAATGACTTTTGGGGGAATCAACCGGTTTTAGGGAGAAACTCTCCGGCCAGGTGCGCGAGTAGCGGCCTCCCGACAGGTAGGAGGAGAACCAGACGCATGCGCCCACTTTCCGACGCGAAAGGGAAAGTGTGTGCTGGAAGGCAGAAAAAGTTAAGCCGAGTTTCCGAGACTTTTGCAGCCCTTCGGTAAACCGGGCGGCGCAGGATCGGCTCTCCGCTTCCTCCTCCCGTCCGATCTCTCTCTCTCTCTCTCTCTCTTCCCCCCCCAAATCGGGCCCGCCTGCCTCGAACCCCCTTTTTCTCGGCCGTGTGTGTGCCCCCCC